TATAGACTGATCTATAGTCAAGACTATAGACTGAGATATAGTCAAGACTATAGTCTAATCTATAGTCAAGACTATAAACTTACCTATAGTCAAGATTATAGACTTACCTATAGTCAAGACTATTGACTGATCTAGAGTCAAGACTATAGACTGATCTGATCTAAAGACTGGTCTATGGTTAACACTATGGATTGGTCTATAGCATATAGGCTGATATATAGTCAAGACTATAGACTGAGCTATAGTCAAGATTATAGACTGATCCATAGTCAAGACTATAGACTGATCTATAGTTAAAACTATAGATTGATCTATAGTAAAGACTATAGACTAATCTATAGTTAAAACTATAGACTGATCTATAGTAAAGACTATAGACTGAACTATAGTCAAGACTGTAGACTTATCTGTAGTCAAGACTATAGTCTGATCTGTAGTCAAGAGTATAGACTGATCTATAGTCAAGACTATGGACTAATCTATAGTTAAAACTATAGACTGATCTATAGTAAAGACTATAGACTGATCTATATTAAAGACTACAGACTGAACTATATATAGTCAAGACTGTAGACTTATCTGTAGTCAAGACTATAAACTGATCTAAGGTCAAGACTATAGACTGATCTATAGTCAAAACTTTAGACTGATCTATAGGCAACATTCTAGACAATAAACAGATATATAGTCAAGACTATAGACTGCTCTGTAGTTAAGACTATAGACTGATCTGCAGTAAAGACTGTGAACTGATCTACAGATCAGATTAGAAACTGATCTATAGTCAAGACTATAGACTGATCTATAGTCAAAACTATAGACTGATCTATAGTTAAAACTATAGACTGATCTATAGTAGAGACTATAGACTAATATATATTAAAGACTATAGACTGATCTATAGTCAAGACTGTAGACTGATCTATATTCAAGACTATAAACTGATTTAAGGTCAAGTCTATAAACTGATTTAAGGTCAAGACTATAGACTGATCTATAGTCAAGACTATAGACTGATCTATAGGCAAAACTATAGACTGATCTATAGTTTATGTATATAGATCTATAATTTACAGATGTTTTACCGTTTGTCCTGTAAAAGTCTTAACTGTGGTTATGTTTTTAATTTGAGGGAAAAATTCTTAGAAAATGAAAAGTTTTTCCTTTTAATATTAATAAAGTGTAACGAATTATTTATTAATTTATGAACATAATGCTGGCTCTAGGAATTATTTTTTTCCAAATTTGCTTTTTATAAAAAAAATTAACTTAATAAAATTAAGTTAATGCATTTAATAAATAAAATAATGCTTTTAATTCAATTTAGACTAACGGCCTTATGAAATTAAACAAATGTTGATTAATGAATTTATGAGATTTTAATTATCGGATAAAAAGTCTAGTTATATAAAGAGAAATTACCTAAAATGATTTGATAGTTTTTTTATAAAATCATATTCCTAAGAATTTATTCAAAACTTTTGTTAATGATTTTGTAGTCTTAACATTCAATTTTTACCTTGCCTTGTCAATAACTCCTTAACAATAATATGATGTAGGAGTTGCTAATACCAAGCCGGATTTCAATTTTTAACATTTTTTTTATTATGGATATAATTGCCTTCAAAATCAGACATACCATGCCATTATTCAAAACTTCAACTAAATTGGCCCCCTAATTCTCAATGTCTAAATAAACATCACACTTTCCTGTCTGTCCGTCTGTCTGGCTGTCTGTCTAAACACTCTTGAGAAAAATTAGTTCACATTAAATGAAATAAATTCATACATACATCCCCTCCATTGTGACCATTTATCCAAGCATTCCATCAAGATATGTATATCGATTGTTCGTTCGTTCTTCTATTCTTTTACACTTTCAATTGTTTTTAATTTATGAACGAGATGTTTTCTGTCATTTTGTTTGCATTTGTTATTTGTTCGGCAAATCAATCATCAATGATGGGATGAAGAGCAAAAAAAGAAATATTCATGTTTCCAATAGAAAAAGCTAAAGCTACTTTAAATCATAGGATGAGGAAAAAGTGAGGGTGCCAATTGATAGACGGCCAACATGATTAGGTGGACAGTTTGATTTGTTATCACACGATAGAAGAAAAAAAGAGGGAGGCTAAAGATGGATGGATGGACGGACGAGTGATTATCTTGTTAACAACATACTTTTTGTAGCATAAACAATAGAAATTAAAATAAAATAATAAGAACATGGAATTAAATAAAAATAATTAAATTAGCGGTCAGCACCGACCTTTTATTACCCCTGCAAGAGTTCTGAGGAAAATATAACAATAAACTTATGCTCTCAGTATCGTAGGAATAATTTCTTTTTTTTTTTTTTTATCAACAACTAAGCCCTTGATTCTGCCCAACGCTTTAACTACACCTGGACAAATGTATGTGTGTGTGTGTCAATAAAAACCAGTAGTAAATATTTAACATATTCAAGTGCATCATAAATGTTTATTATAAAATATTTCTCTGTTACAAGAATTTTATTTTAAGTTTGTAAAAAAAAAATTTCAAAGTTTTAAAAGCCGCTGTAAACATTCAATGTTTACACACAATGTAAACATGTACACATGCACACATTGCAAGCAAAACAAATAACTTACAGCTAAATAAATATTATTAATAACAATTAAATAATTAATAATAATGCAAAGAAACGATAAAAGGGAAAATTCTCTTATAAAAAAAAAGTTTACTTTAACACAACAGAATCGTAAATAAGAAGAAGATTTTTGAATAGCACTAAACTCTATGCTGACCAGACTTATCCAAAGTCAAGACCAATCAATTCAGAGCAATCAGTTCAGATAATAAATTGATTTTCCAGAATATATGTGATGGATTTCAGTCAAGACTGAGCTATAGTCAAAATTGATCTGAAGACAAGACTATAGACTGATCTGTAGACAAGACTATAGACTGATGTGTAGACAAGACTATTGACTGATCTGTGGACAAGACTATAAACTGATCTCTAAACAAGACTATAGAGTGAATATAGACTGATCTATAGTCAAGACTATAGACTGATCTACAGTTATGACTATAGACTGATCTATATTCAAGCCTATAGACTGATCTATAGTCAAAACTATAGACTGATCTATAGTCGAGACTATATACTGATCTATAGTCAAGTATATAGACTGAATACAGTCCAGATTATAGAATGATCTATAGCCCAGACAATAGACTGATCCGTAATCAAGACTATAGACTAATCAATAGTCAAGACTATAGACTGATCTATAGTCAAGACTATAGACTAATCTATAGTCAAGACTATTGCCTGATCTATAGTCAAGACTATATAGTGATCTATAGTCAAGACTATATAATGATATATAGTCAAGACTATAGACTGATCTATAGTCAAGTATATAGACTGATATATAGTCAAGACTATAGAATGATCTACAGTCAAGACTACATACTGATCTATAGTCAACACCACAGACTTATCTGTAGTCAACACTATAGACTGATCTATAGTCAGGACTATAGACTGATCTTTAGTCAAGACTATAGACTGATGTTTAGTCAGGACTATAGACTGATCTTTTGTCAAGACTATAGACTGATCTATAGTCAAGAATATAGACTCATCTATAGTCCAGACTATAGACTGATCTATAGTCAAGTATATAGACTGATATATACTCAAGACTGATCTATAGTCAAGAATATAGACTAAACTAGAGTCAAAACTATAGACTGATCTATAGTTAAGACTATAGACTGATCTATAGTTTAGACTATAGACTCATCTATTGTTAAGACTATAGACTGATCTATAGTCAAGATTATAGACTGAATTACAGTCAAGATTGTAGACTGATCTATAGTCAAGACTATAGACAGATATATACTTAAGACTACAGACAGATCTATACTTAAGACTATAGACTGTTCTATAGTTAAGACTATAGACTGATCTATAGTCAACACTATAGATAGAACTATAGGCTGATCTATAGTCAAGACTATAGACTGATCTAAAATCAAGACTAAAGACTGACCTATAGTCAAGACTATAGACTCTTCCATAGTACAGACTATAGACTGACCTAAAGTCCAGACTATAGACTGGTCTATAGTCAAGACCATAGACTGATATATAGTCAAGACTATATATTGATCTATGGTTAAGACTATATAATGATATATAGTCAAGACTATAGACTGATTTATAGTCAAGACTATAGACTGATTTATAGTCTAGACTATAGACTAATCTATAGTCAAGACTATAGACTGACCTACAGTCCAGGCTATAGACTGATCTACAGTCAAGAATATTGACTGATCTAAAGTAAAGACTATAGTCAAGACTATAGTACAAACTATAGTCAAGACTATAGTACAAACTATAGTCAAGACTATAGTACAAACTATAGTCAAGACTATAGTACAAACTATAGTCAAGACTATAGTACAAACTATAGTCAAGACTATAGTCTGACCTATAATCAAGACTATGGTCTGATCTATAGGTAAGTCTATATACTTGTAGTACAATAGTCTTGACTATAGACTACACTATAGTACAGTTTTGACTGCAAATTTATAGTCAAAGCTACAAACTGATCAAAGTTTGTCATAATCTTCTAAGACATACTTATTTGAGCAAGTTTTTATTTCTAATTTTATTTTCATTTATTTAATTTGAAAAGTAAAAAAAAACTTTTCATTTCTTTTTCACTTAAAAATATTCCAAAGAAACAGCAACATCTGTTGTTATTTTTCTTTTCAAAATAATATTATTGTTCACTTTTGGTATAATGCCAAATATGTAAAGTATTGAATTTCTTATTTAAAAGGAAAACAATTCTTTTCAAATTTATATTTGTCATAAGTCTTGCAATTTCTTTTCAGCTTAAAAGAAAATATGTATCATAGAAAATAAGTGTTAAAAGAGAAAAACAAATAATTTAAATATTTTCTTTTTTTAATATATTCTGCCTTTACAGTTTTGCGTGATGATTTTCGAGCCCAACCCAAGGATACACGTGTGGCTAAAGGTGAAACGGCATTGTTGGAATGTGGTCCACCCAAGGGTATACCCGAACCAACGCTCATATGGATGAAGGTAAGTTTATGAAGGTGTTTTCTTATCTGAATTTTCTTATAAGTGAAATAAATATAAAGACATATTAGGAGGATGAATAAAATTTTGGATTTAAATAAAAATAGTATTAGTTTTATAAGAAACTAAGAGCATAATTTCTGTGCTAGATTAACACATTTATAACAATATACATATAAAGGTCATAACTGTTCATCTGTAAGCTAATATATTTTCACATCTCTCTACGGATACTTTCCCCCCTTTACCTAGTAATCATACATACATTATGAAAGCTTTACATTTAGTTAAAAATATTCAGTTGAACGCGAAGAAAAACAACTAAAAACTAAAAGTTGTGCATATATTTATTTGAAAATGTAAATGCAGCATAAATTTGATTTTATAGATTGTTTTCATTTTAGTTTTTTTCCTTTTTTTTCCACATAAAACATTTGTAAAAATAGCAAAAAACCAGCATGAATAAATATAAACTATTCAGCTCATGTGATGTCAGGTGTAATGTTGGTGTAATGAAACAACAAAAGAAAAAGGAAAATGTTTTTTCAAATGGAAATGTCATGCAAAATTTATTTTAACTTAAATTCATGCTATAGAGAAATATGAGGAAAACATGAAGAAAATAAATAAAATTATGGAATTTTTCAATATAAATATTTTGTTAAACATTTCGTTTCGTACACTTCACCATAGAGAGAAGGCGACACAGCATTCATGTTCGACTTTTATCGTCAACACTGTAAACCAGTCAATAGTCTAGTCTAGTCTAGTCTATAGTAGTCTATAGTCTAGTCTATAGTCTAGTCTATAGTCTAGTCTATAGTCTAGTCTATAGTCTAGTCTATAGTCTAGTCTAGTCTATAGTCTAGTCTATAGTCTAGTCTATAGTCTAGTCTATAGTCTAGTCTATAGTCTAGTCTATAGTCTAGTCTATAGTCTAGTCTATAGTCTAGTCTATAGTCTAGTCTTTAGTCTAGTCTATAGTCTGGTCTATAGTCTAGTCTATAGTCTAGTCTATAGTCTAGTCTATAGTCTAGTGTATAGTCTAGTCTATAGTCTAGTCTATAGTCTAGTCTATAGTCTAGTCTATAGTCTAGTCTATAGTCTAGTCTATAGTCTAGTCTATAGTCTAGTCTATAGTCTAGTCTATAGTCTAGTCTATAGTCTAGCCTATAGTCTAGTCTATAATCTAGTCTATAGTCTAGTCTATAGTCTATAGTCTAGTCTATAGTCTAGTCTATAGTCTAGTCTATAGTCTAGTCTATAGTCTAGTCTATAGTCTAGTCTATAGTCTAGTCTATAGTCTAGTCTATAGTCTAGTCTATAGTCTAGTCTATAGTCTAGTCTATAGTCTAGTCTATAGTCTAGTCTATAGTCTAGTCTATAGTCTAGTCTATAGTCTAGTCTATAGTCTAGTCTATAGTCTAGCTATAGTCTAGTTATAGTCTAGTCTATAGTCTAGTCTATAGTCTAGTCTATAGTCTAGTCTATAGTCTAGTCTATAGTCTAGTCTATAGTCATAGTCTATAGTCTAGTCTATAGTCTAGTCTATAGTCTAGTCTATTAGTCTAGTCATAGTCTAGTCTATAGTCTAGTCTATAGTCTAGTCTATAGTCTAGTCTATAGTCTAGTCTATAGTCTAGTCTATAGTCTAGTCTATAGTTAGTCTATAGTCTAGTCTATAGTCTAGTCTATAGTTCTGTCTATAGTCTAGTCTATTTAGTCTAGTCTATAGTCTAGTCTATAGTCTAGTTCTATAGTCTAGTCTATAGTCTAGTCTATAGTCTAGTCTATAGTCTAGTCTATAGTCTAGTCTATAGTCTAGTCTATAGTCTAGTCTATAGTCTAGTCTATAGGTCTAGTGTCTATAGTCTAGTCTATAGTCTAGTCTATAGTCTAGTCTATTAGTCTAGTCTATAGTCTAGTCTATAGTCTAGTCTATAGTCTAGTCTATAGTCTAGTCTATAGTCTAGTCTATAGTCTAGTCTATAGTCTAGTCTATAGTCTAGTCTATAGTCTAGTCTATAGTCTAGTCTATAGTCTAGTCTATAGTCTAGTCTATAGTCTAGTCTATAGTCTAGTCTATAGTCTAGTCTATAGTCTAGTCTATAGTCTAGTCTATAGTCTAGTCTATAGTCTAGTCTATAGTCTAGTCTATAGTCTAGTCTATAGTCTAGTCTATAGTCTAGTCTATAGTCTAGTCTATAGTCTAGTCTATAGTCTAGTCTATAGTCTAGTCTATAGTCTAGTCTATAGTCTAGTCTATAGTCTAGTCTATAGTCTAGTCTATAGTCTAGTCTATAGTCTAGTCTATAGTCTAGTCTATAGTCTAGTCTATAGTCTAGTCTATAGTCTAGTCTATAGTCTAGTCTATAGTCTAGTCTATAGTCTAGTCTATAGTCTAGTCTATAGTCTATAGTCTAGTCTATAGTCTATGTCTATTATAGTCTAGTCGATAGTCTAGTCTATAGTCTAGTCTATAGTCTAGTCTATAGTCTAGTCTATAGTCTATCTATAGTCTAGTCTATAGTCTAGTCTATAGTCTAGTCTATAGTCTAGTCTATAGTCTAGCTATAGTCTAGTCTATAGTCTAGTCTATAGTCTAGTCTATAGTCTAGTCTATAGTCTAGTTCTATGTCTAGTCTATAGTCTAGTCTATAGTCTAGTCTATAGTCTAGTCTAAGTCTAGTCTATAGTCTAGTCTATAGTCTAGTCTATAGTCTAGCTATAGTCTAGTCTATAGTCTAGTCTATAGTCTAGTCCTATAGTCTAGTCTATAGTCTAGTCTATAGTCTAGTCTATAGTCTAGTCTATAGCTAGTCTAGTCTATAGTCTAGTCTATAGTCTAGTCTATAGTCTAGTCTATAGTCTAGTCTATAGTCTAGTCTATAGTCTAGTCTATAGTTCTAGTCTATAGTCTAGTCTATAGTCTAGTCTATAGTCTAGTCTATAGTCTAGTCTATAGTCTAGTCTATAGTCTAGTCTATAGTCTAGTCTATAGTCTAGTCTATAGTCTAGTCTATAGTCTAGTCTATAGTCTAGTCTATAGTCTAGTCTATAGTCTAGTCTATAGTCTAGTCTATAGTCTAGTCTATAGTCTAGTCTATAGTCTAGTCTATAGTCTAGTCTATAGTCTAGTCTATAGTCTAGTCTATAGTCTAGTCTATAGTCTAGTCTATAGTCTAGTCTATAGTCTAGTCTATAGTCTAGTCTATAGTCTAGTCTATAGTCTAGTCTATAGTCTAGTCTATAGTCTAGTCTATAGTCTAGTCTATAGTCTAGTCTATAGTCTAGTCTATAGTCTAGTCTATAGTCTAGTCTATAGTCTAGTCTATAGTTCTAGTCTATAGTCTAGTCTATAGTCTAGTCTATAGTCTAGTCTATAGTCTAGTCTATAGTCTAGTCTATAGTCTAGTCTATAGTCTAGTCTATAGTCTAGTCTATAGTCTAGTCTATAGTCTAGTCTATAGTCTAGTCTATAGCTAGTCTATAGTCTAGTCTATAGTCTAGTCTATAGTCTAGTCTATAGTCTAGTCTATAGTCTAGTCTATAGTCTAGTCTATAGTCTAGTCTATAGTCTAGTCTATAGTCTAGTCTATAGTCTAGTCTATAGTCTAGTCTATAGTCTAGTCTATAGTCTAGTCTATAGTCTAGTCTATAGTCTAGTCTATAGTCTAGTCTATAGTCTAGTCTATAGTCTAGTCTATAGTCTAGTCTATAGTCTAGTCTATAGTCTAGTCTATAGTCTAGTCTATAGTCTAGTCTATAGTCTAGTCTATAGTCTAGTCTATAGTCTAGTCTATAGTCTAGTCTATAGTCTAGTCTATAGTCTAGTCTATAGTCTAGTCTATAGTCTAGTCTATAGTCTAGTCTATAGTCTAGTCTATAGTCTAGTCTATAGTCTAGTCTATAGTCTAGTCTATAGTCTAGTCTATAGTCTAGTCTATAGTCTAGTCTATAGTCTAGTCTATAGTCTAGTCTATAGTCTAGTCTATAGTCTAGTCTATAGTCTAGTCTATAGTCTAGTCTATAGTCTAGTCTATAGTCTAGTCTATAGTCTAGTCTATAGTCTAGTCGATAGTCTAGTATATAGTCTAGTTTATCTCCTAGTATATCGTCTGGTCTATAGTCTAGTCTATAGTCTAGTCGATAGTCTAGTATATAGTCTAGTTTATCTCCTAGTATATCGTCTAGTCTATAGTCTAGTCTAACGTCTAGTTTATCGTCAATTCTAACGTATTGTATATATTCTATTCTACAGTCTAGTCTATTGTCTATTCTAGTCTTTTTTGTAGTTTATAGTCTAGTCTATATTGACTAGAATAAATTTTCCGTTATACCATTGGAAATGGTGTACATTATCTTTTTCCCCCGAAAAATTTTATTTTTATTTCACTATTTTCTCTTATTTTTATTCATTTCTTAACATTACAATTCATTACAATTCTTTCATTTTATTTCTCCCATTTCTTGTCTTTTCTCATTTCCCACCCCTGTAGGATGGTGTTCCTTTGGATGATTTAAAAACGAAATCTTATGGAACCACATCACGTATACGCATTGTTGATGGTGGTAATTTATTGATAAGCAATGTCGAACCAATTGACGAGGGCAACTACAAGTGTATCGCTCAGAATATTGTTGGCACTCGTGAGTCCAGTTATGCTAAACTAATTGTTCAAGGTAAGTGTTTAAATTACTAGTACACATACACATATGTATATAAGTAAACTAACCCAGCAAACACAAACATATACAATCATACATTTGGAATTTCAGCGACGTATGTAGATATCCTCTAGCTTTCTCCACAATTATGTGAACTCATGGAAGAATATAAAAAAGTTTCATGCCCAACCACTTATGTTTGCTGGGTTACCTAAGCAACAGAGCATTAGAGTGTATTCGTTTGAAGAGGATTTCTTAGGAAATTTCTATACGTGAGTTGCTTAGTGAAAATGAGTTTAAATGAGGCCTTAAGCTGGATGGGTGATAATCTGTATGTGTTGTTTTACTACGAAATCATTTTGTTAAGATATTTATCTCTTCCAATAGAGATTTTCTTGGTTCTTTGTATTTGAAACATGATGTAAGTGTTTATGTTGGCCTGAGGTAGAAGTACATGGCAGATATAAAGATTGTTAGATATTAGTAGTTTAGTTTATCAAAGCCTTGATAGAATTTAGATAATATTATAATTATTTTAAGTTTCTAACAAGACCAATGAGTGCTATTTGGTAAAACGATAGAAATTTCTATATGTGAAGTGCCTCCTTACTTTGGTTAGAGAAATTTTTAGAGAATTTTTAACAATTTTCTATCTATTTATTAAAATTCATTTTATAACCTCAAAGTTCCTCTTGAACATTTTTATTAATTGTCTATTAAAAATCTTCTTTAAAAGTAAAATATTTCCTTTATTTGCTTCATTTCTTTGTAAATTCCAATAAAAATTAAGCACTTTTAAGTGGTTTCTTGTCATATATTTAAGAGTATTGCACTTTTTCACAAAATTTATTGAATGAATAAAACTACAGATACCAACATTAACAATTAAAATAAAGCAGCAAAAATAGAAGAGAAGGGACGAAAACTAAAGCTCAGCAGGAATTTGCACGACATTTTTTCTACTTCATGAAATAATGTCAAGAAAAAAAGAAAATTGAAATGGCAAAATTTTTAAACAAAATCAATAAAAAAATTTAAAAAAATTAAAAAGAAAAAGAGAAAAATAAGCTTTACTCAGAGTTGAAAACCAAAATTTTAGTGAATTTTTTATAAAATCTGATTTTTAGAATAAATGCCAAGTTTTTGTATAATATTCAAGACTATAGACTATTCTATAGTCAAGACTAAAGACTATTCTATAGTCAAGACTATACACTATTCTATAGTCAAGACTATATACTATCCTATAGTCAAGACTATAGACTATTCTATAGTCAATACTATAGACTATTCTATAGTCAAGACTATAGACTATTCTATAGTCAAGACTATAGACTATTCTATAGTCAAGACTAGGGACTATTCTATAGTCAAGACTAGAGACTATTATATAGTGAAAACTATAGACTATTCTATAGTCAAGACTATATACTATCCTATAGTCAAGACTATAGACTATTTCATAGTCAAGACTATAGACTATTCTATCGTCAAGACTATAGACTATTTCATAGTCAAGACTATAGACTATTCTATAGTCAAGACTATAGACTATTCTATAGTCAAGACTATAGACTATTCTATAGTCAAGACTATAGACTATTCTATAGTCAAGACTAGGGACTATTCTATAGTCAAGACTAGAGACTATTATATAGTGAAAACTATAGACTATTCTATAGTCAAGACTATATACTATCCTATAGTCAAGACTATACACTATTCTATAGTCAAGACTAGGGACTATTCTATAGTCAAGACTAGAGACTATTATATAGTGAAAACTATAGACTATTCTATAGTCAAGACTATATACTATCCTATAGTCAAGACTATAGACTATTTCATAGTCAAGACTATAGACTATTCTATCGTCAAGACTATAGACTATTTCATAGTCAAGACTATAGACTATTCTATAGTCAAGACTATAGACTATTCTATAGTCAAGACTATAGACTATTCTATAGTCAAGACTATAGACTATTCTATAGTCAAGACTAGGGACTATTCTATAGTCAAGACTAGAGACTATTATATAGTGAAAACTATAGACTATTCTATAGTCAAGACTATATACTATCCTATAGTCAAGACTATAGACTATTCTATAGTCAATACTATAGACTATTCTATAGTCAATACTATAGACTATTCCATAGTCAAGACTATAGATTATTCTATAGTCAAGACTATAGACTCTTCTATAGTCAAGACTATAGACTATTCTATACTATTCTATAGTCAAGACTATAGACTATTCTATATTCAAGACTATGGACTATTCTATAGTCAAGACTATAGACTATTCTATAGTCAAGACTATAGACTATTCTATAGTCAAGACTAGGGACTATTCTATAGTCAAGACTAGAGACTATTATATAGTGAAAACTATAGACTATTCTATAGTCAAGACTACATAATATAGACTTTCCTATAGTCAAGACTATAGACTATTTTATTGTCAAGACTACAGAATATAGACTTTCCTATAGTCAACACTATAGACTATACTATTGTCAAGACCATAGACTATCCTATAATCAGTACTATAGACTATCCTATGGTCGAGACAATAGACTATTCTAAAGTGAAGATTATAGACTATTACATAGTCCAGACTATTCTATAGTCAAGACTATAGTGTATTCTATAATCAGGACCATAGACTATTTTATAGTCATTACTATAGACTCATATATAGTCAAGACAATAGACTGATCTATAATAAAGACTATAGACTGATATATAGTCAAGACTATAGACTGATCTATAGTCAAAACTATAGACTGATCTATAGTCAAGACTATAGACTGATCTATAGCCAAGACTATAGACTGATCTATAGTCAAAACTATAGACTAATCCATAGTCAAGACTAATGTAGACTAATCCATAGTCAAGACTAATGTAGACTAATCTATAGTCAAGACTATAGACTGATCTATAGTCAAGACTATAGACTGATCTATAGTCAAGAGTATAGACTGATCTACAGTCAAGAGTATAGACTGATCTATATTCAAGACTATAGACTGATCTATAGTCAACCCTATAGACTTATCTATAGTCAAGACTATAGACTGATCTATAGTTAGGACTATAGACTGATCTATAGTTAGGACTATAGACTGATCTATAGTCAAAACTATGGACTGATCTATAGTCAAGACTACAGACTGATCTATAGTCAAGACTATAGACTAATCTATAGTCAAGACTATAGACTGATCTATAGTCAAGACTATAGACTGATCTATAGTCAAGACTATAGACTGATCTGTAGTCAAGACTATAGACTGATCTATAGTCAAGACTATAGACTAATCTATAGTCAAGACTATAGACTGATCTATAGTCAAGACTATAGACTGATCTATAGTCAAGACTATAGACTGATCTATAGCCAAGACTATAGACTGATCTATAGTCAAAACTATAGACTAATCCATAGTCAAGACTAATGTAGACTAATCCATAGTCAAGACTAATGTAGACTAATCTATAGTCAAGACTATAGACTTATCTATAGTCAAGACTATAGACTGATCTATAGTTAGGACTATAGACTGATCTATAGTTAGGACTATAGACTGATCTATAGTCAAAACTATGGACTGATCTATAGTCAAGACTGATCTATAGTCAAGACTATAGACTAATCTATAGTCAAGACTATAGACTGATCTATAGTCAAGACTATAGACTGATCTATAGTCAAGACTATAGACTGATCTATAGTCAAGACTATAGACTGATCTATAGTCAAGACTATAGGATGATATATAGTCAAGACTATAGTCCGGTCTATAGTCAAGACTATAGTCTGGTCTATTGTCAAGACTATAGACTGATCTATAGTCAAGACTATAGACTGATCTATAGTAAAGACTATAGTCTGGTCTATAGTCAAGACAATAGTCTGGTCTATAGTCAAGACTATAGACTGATCTATAGTCAAGTATATAGACTATTCTATAGTCAAGAATATAGACTATTCTATAGTCAAGACCATAGACTGGTCTATGGAAATCATTCACAACTGTAAAAGTCCCACTCTTTTCTATGGCTTTTGTTTAAATAAAATCACAGTTTTCCATGTGCTAAACAAATAAATCCAAAAAAAGAAAAACCCCTAATGTGTGTGTCAGCTGAAGAGTTGAAAGTTTGGCGCCATCGGGGAATATCAAATGAATACACAAAAACTACAAATATTTAAAAATTATTTATTTGTAAAAGCAAAAAAAAAAAAAAGGAGACTTATTTTGTGTATTTGGAAAAACCAGGCAACAACATATTTTATCATGTGATAGAAAAATCTAGTGAAAATAACCATGAAAACTCCATGGGGTGTGGAGTAAGGAGAAGTTTTATAGAAATGGGTGGGGGAAAAAACAAAAATATAAAACTAGCTAACTAATTTAAATAAATGGAGGAAGAAACAAAAAACAAGACCAATAAAATCCATGATTTACACATATTTTGCATGCAGGGTATTTAAATAACTGAAAAAAAAACGGGAAAACATATCTAATGAATATAAAATCCGATAAAACTACAATTTGAAAAAAGTAAATCGAAAAGAAAACGAGAATGTTAGTAGTGAAATCCTTACAATATGCTTTTGTCCAGTATTTAATTAATTGTTTTCAAGTTGTTTAAATAAAATAAGAAAAACACAAAAAAAAAAGAAACTCCCCTTTTTTTAAATGGATAAAATTTTCCAACTCATGAAAGAAAACTTTTTTTTTTGTTAACAAACAATGGTCAGCAAGTTTTGAACTTGGAAAAACTCATTAAAGTTTTGCCAAAACACACTTCTATTTCAAAGAGTATTTGGAATCCAGCTGAAAAAAAAACACACTTCAAACTTAAGCATCATCATATTTGTCTCCCTTTTAGTTCTAAAAAAAAAGTAGAAAAAATGTCATACTTTTTTTCCACTTTAACTATATTAACATTTCAAGTGTCATACTTTAGTTTTAATTTTATTTTTTCCTTTTTATTCCAGTAAATGAGGGTTTAAGTAGTTTAAGTTTTAGCATGAAATAAAAACTGAAACTTTATTAATTTCTTAAAACTTTAATTACTCTCTTACCTTATTTATTTCATATTCTTTATCTACTTTATTTTATTTTAACTTCTTTTTCTAGTTAAACCCTATTTTATGAAAGAACCACAGGATCTAACCATGTTGTCTGGTCAAACGGCCACGTTTCATTGTTCAGTGGGTGGGGATCCACCACCAAAGATTTTATGGAAAAAAGAAGAAGGCAATATACCAGTGTCACGAGCTCGCATCCAACATGATGACAAAAGTTTAGAAATCACAAATATAATACCTGAGGATGAGGGCACTTATGTGTGTGAGGCTCACAATAATGTGGGACAAATTAGTGCGAGGGCATCGCTGACAGTTCATGGTAAGTTCAAAGAGATTTTGTTTTAATTGAAAAGAATTAAAAATAGCGTAAAATAAAACTAAAACTAAGTTTTTGGGTAAAAACTGGGTTTTTGTGTAAAAAGTGAGTTTTTGGGTAAAAACTAGGTTTTTGGGTAAAAACTAGGTTTTTGGGTAAAAACTAGGTTTTTGGGTAAAAACTAGGTTTTTGTGTAAAAAGTGAGTTTTTGTATAAAAACTGCATTTTTGTGTAAAAACTGATTTTTTGTGTAAAAACTGAGTTTTTGTGTAAAAATTTAGTTTTTGTGTAAAAATTAAGTTTTTGTGTAAAAATTGAGTTTTTGTGTCAAAAATTAGTTTTTGTGTAAAAATAGAGTTTTTTTTTGTAAAAAATGAGTTTTTGTGTAAAAATTGAGTTTTTGTGTGAAAATTGAGTTTTTGTGTAAAAACTGAGCTTTTGTGTAAAAACTGAGTTTTTGTGTAAAAACTGAGTTTTTGTGTAAAAACTGAGTTTTTGTGTAAAAACTGAGTTTTTGTGTAAAAACTGAGTTTTTGTGTAAAAATTGAGTTTTTGTGTAAAAAATTAGTTTTTGTGTAAAAAATGAGTTTTTGTGTAAAAATTAGAGTTTTTGTGTAAAAATTAGAGTTTTTGTGTAAGAAATGAAAATTGTGTTTTTGTGTAAAAATTTAGTTTTTGTGTAAAAAATTAGTTTTTGTGTAAAAATTGAGTTTTTGTGTAAAAATTCAGTTTTTGTGTAAAAATAAAGTTTTTGTGTAAAAAATGAGTTTTTGTGTAAAAAATGAGTTTATGCGTAAGTTCAGTTCTAGTTCAGTTCCAGTTCAGTTCTAGTTCTAGTTCAGTTCTAGTTCAGTTCTAGTTCAGTTCTAGTTCAGTTCTAGTTCAGTTCTAGTTCAGTTCTAGTTCAGTTCTAGTTCAGTTCTAGTTCAGTTCTAGTTCAGTTCAGTTCTAGTTCAGTTCTAGTTCTGTTTTAGTTCTGTTCTAGTTCTGTTCTAGTTCTGTTCTAGTTCTGTTCTAGTTCTGTTCTAGTTCTGTTCTAGTTCTGTTCTAGTTCTGTTCTAGTTCTGTTCTAGTTCTGTTCTAGTTCTGTTCTAGTTCTGTTCTAGTTCTGTTCTAGTTCTGTTCTAGTTCTGTTCTAGTTGTTTTCTAGTTCTTTTCTAGTTCTGTTCTAGTTCAATTCTAGTTTAGTTCTAGTTCAGTTTTAGTTCAGTTCTAGTTCAGTTCTAGTTCAGTTCTAGTTCAGTTCTAGTTCAGTTCTAGTTCAGTTCTAGTTCAGTTCTAGTTCAGTTCTAGTTCAGTTCTAGTTCAGTTCTAGTTCAGTTCTAGTTCAGTTCTAGTTCAGTTCTAGTTCAGTTCTAGTTCAGTTCTAGTTCAGTTCTAGTTCAGTTCTAGTTCAGTTCTAGTTCAGTTCTAGTTCAGTTCTAATTCAGTTCTAATTCAGTTCTAGTTCAGTTCTAGTTCAGTTCTAGTTCAGTTCTAATTCAGTTCTAATTCAGTTCTAGTTCAGTTCTAGTTCACTTCTAGTTCACTACTAGTTCACTTCTAGTTCACTTCTAGTTCACTTCTAGTTCACTTCTAGTTCAGTTCTAGTTCAGTTCTAGTTCAGTTCTAGTTCACTTCTAGTTCAGTTCTAGTTCAGTTTTAGTTCAGTTCTAGCTCAGTTCTAGTTCACTTCTAGTTCAGTTATAATTTAGTTCCAAATATTTCTTGTGCTTTGCTTTATACTTTTCTGTCTAGTCCCCCATTTCTTCAAATTTAAATTAAACATGAAATATTAAAAATTACTGCAATACTACAGCATTAGCATCTACAATATTTCTATTCATTCTATTTCCAGCACCACCCACTTTCATAGTCAAGCCACAAGATAGAAAAATTGGTCTAAATGGTGTGGCGCAATTTCCCTGTGTTGCCGATGGCAATCCACCACCTTCGGTATTCTGGACGAAAGAAGGCTCAAGTACTTTGATGTTTCCCAACAACTCGTATGGTCATTTACATGTCACGGTCGAGGGAACATTGCAAATTAATGGTGTGCAAAAAGATGATGCCGGTTACTATGTGTGCTCAGCCTTTAGTGTTGTTGACTCGACAACAATACGAGCATTTTTACAGGTAAATATTACATATTTCTTCTACTCATTTTCAAATGTCAAATGTATTGCATAAGAGAAATTTAAAATTGTTCATATTTGTAATGACATCTCTTGTGTCATGTGTAGTTAAGATTCTTGTTATTAAAAAAATTCATACATAAAACATCAATTGTTGTCATAGGTAACGTCTGTCGATGATACTCCCCCGCCCATTATACAAATTGGTCCTTCGAACCAGACCTTGCCGAAAGGCAGCGTTGCCATGTTACCCTGTCGTGCTTCTGGCCATCCTACACCTCGTGTCAAATGGTATAGAGATGGCACAACATTACAGAGTGGTAATCGTTATACCATTGTACAGGGCGGTTCTTTACGAATAGATGGTAAGTGGAAATGTTCATATTTTAAATTCTTAAATTGAATATTTTGTATAAGTGTTAAAAGGTAAATTTTGTTTTAATTAATATCGTTTTTTTTCTCCCTGTTTTAAATTTCAATTAAACTTTTAGATTTGCAATTAAGTGACTCTGCCCTGTATACCTGTACGGCTTCTTCGGAAAGTGGTGAAACCTCTTGGTCCGCTACGCTAACGGTATGTTTTTTTTTGTTTCGTTTTTATAAAATTTGTTTTTAGTTGGAATTATTTAATTTCATTTTCGTTTTGTTCAAATTTTAATTACCCATAAATCCTTTCGGTTTTATGCGTTTTTAACTGCGTTCTATGTGTTTTGTACATAACAACTAATTAAAGTTAAAATACATTAAATTATGTATTTTTTTATTATTATATTCTTTTTTTGTGTTTGTGTTTGTTATTTGGAGGAACAAAACGTTGTAACACCAAAATTTAATTGTTTACTCATAATTTTTATGTTTAAGAGTTTTTTATGTGTGGGTTGTTTCTGGGAAAAACTTTTGGTGTACATTTGTAATTAAAGTATTATGTTTAACAAAATTTATAAAGATCTTTTTCAAATGGATTTTAAAAATATAAATTTTAAAGGGAAACATTTTGTAGTAAAAATAGGTTCCTTGAGGACTTATTAAGCATAGATAGATAGTTTAACAGAAAGACAGACTTATATGGATCGGAAGAATAAACCGCAAATATCTAGTTCGATTCTAGTTCAGTTCTAGTTCATTAGTTCAGTTCTAGTTCAGTTCTAGTTCAGTTCTAGTTCAGTTCTAGTTCAGTCTCTAGTTCAGTTCTAGTTCAGTTCTAGTTCAGTTCTAGTTCAGTTCTAGTTCAGTTCTAGTTCAGTTCTAGTTCAGTTCTAGTTCAGTTCTAGTTCAGTTCTAGTTCAGTTCTAGTTCAGTTCTAGTTCAGTTCTAGTTCAGTTCTAGTTCAGTTCTAGTTCAGTTCTAGTTCAGTTCTAGTTCAGTTCTAGTTCAGTTCTAGTTCAGTTCTAGTTCAGTTCTAGTTCAGTTCTAGTTCAGTTCTAGTTCAGTTCTAGTTCAGTTCTAGTTCAGTTCTAGTTCAGTTCTAGTTCAGTTCTAGTTCAGTTCTAGTTCAGTTCTAGTTCAGTTCTAGTTCAGTTCTAGTTCAGTTCTAGTTCAGTTCTAGTTCAGTTCTAGTTCAGTTCTAGTTCAGTTCTAGTTCAGTTCTAGTTCAGTTCTAGTTCAGTTCTAGTTCAGTTCTAGTTCAGTTCTAGTTCAGTTCTAGTTTAGTTCTAGTTCAGTTCTAGTTCAGTTCTAGTTCAGTTCTAGTTCAGTTCTAGTTCAGTTCTAGTTCAGTTCTAGTTCAGTTCTAGTTCAGTTCTAGTTCAGTTCTAGTTCAGTTCTAGTTCAGTTCTAGTTCAGTTCTAGTTCAGTTCTAGTTCAGTTCTAGTTCAGTTCTAGTTCAGTTCTAGTTCAGTTCTAGTTCAGTTCTAGTTCAGTTCTAGTTCAGTTCTAGTTCAGTTCTAGTTCAGTTCCAGTTCAGTTCCAGTTCAGATCTAGTTCAGTTCTAGTTCAGATCTAGTTCAGTTCTAGTTCTAGTTCAGTTCTAGTTCAGTTCCAGTTCAGTTCTAGTTCAGTTCTAGTTCAGTTCTAGTTCAGTTCTAGTTCAGTTCTAGTTCAGTTCTAGTTCAGTTCTAGTTCAGTTCTAGTTCAGTTCTAGTTCAGTTCTAGTTCAGTTCTAGTTCAGTTCTAGTTCAGTTCTAGTTCAGTTCTAGTTCAGTTCTAGTTCAGTTCTAGTTCAGTTCTAGTTCAGTTCTAGTTCAGTTCTAGTTCAGTTCTAGTTCAGTTCTAGTTCAGTTCTAGTTCAGTTCTAGTTCAGTTCTAGTTCAGTTCTAGTTCAGTTCTAGTTCAGTTCTAGTTCAGTTCTAGTTCAGTTCTAGTTCAGTTCTAGTTCAGTTCTAGTTCAGTTCTAGTTCAGTTCTAGTTCAGTTCTAGTTCAGTTCTAGTTCAGTTCTAGTTCAGTTCTAGTTCAGTTCTAGTTCAGTTCTAGTTCAGTTCTAGTTCAGTTCTAGTTCAGTTCTAGTTCAGTTCTAGTTTTCTAGTTCAGTTCTAGTTCAGTTCTAGTTCAGTTCTAGTTCAGTTCTAGTTCAGTTCTAGTTCAGTTCTAGTTCAGTTCTAGTTCAGTTCTAGTTCAGTTCTAGTTCAGTTCTAGTTCAGTTCTAGTTCAGTTCTAGTTCAGTTCTAGTTCAGTTCTAGTTCAGTTCTAGTTCAGTTCTAGTTCAGTTCTAGTTCAGTTCTAGTTCTTCTAGTTCAGTTCTAGTTCAGTTCTAGTTCAGTTCTAGTTCAGTTCTAGTTCAGTTCTAGTTCAGTTCTAGTTCAGTTCTAGTTCAGTTCTAGTTCAGTTCTAGTTCAGTTCTAGTTCATTCTAGTTCGTTCTAGTTCAGTTCTAGTTCAGTTCTAGTTCAGTTCTAGTTCAGTTCTAGTTTCAGTTCTAGTTCAGTTCTAGTTCAGTTCTAGTTCAGTTCTAGTTCAGTTCTAGTTCAGTTCTAGTTCAGTTCTAGTTCATTCTAGTTCAGTTCTAGTTTAGTTCTAGTTCAGTTCTAGTTCAGTTCTAGTTCAGTTCTAGTTCAGTTCTAGTTCAGTTCTAGTTCAGTTCTAGTTCAGTTCTCTTTCAGTTCTAGTTCAGTTCTAGTTCAGTTCTAGTTCAGTTCTAGTTCAGTTCTAGTTCAGTTCTAGTTCAGTAGTTCAGTTCTAGTTCAGTTCTAGTTCAGTTCTAGTTCAGTTCTAGTTCGTTCTAGTTCAGTTCTAGTTCAGTTCCAGTTCAGTTCCAGTTCAGATCTAGTTCAGATCTAGTTCAGTTCTAGTTCAGATCTAGTTCTAGTTCAGTTCTAGTTCTAGTTCAGTTCTAGTTCAGTTCCAGTTCAGTTCTAGTTCAGTTCTAGTTCAGTTCTAGTTCAGTTCTAGTTCAGTTCTAGTTCAGTTCTAGTTCAGTTCTAGTTCAGTTCTAGTTCAGTTCTAGTTCAGTTCTAGTTCAGTTCTAGTTCAGTTCTAGTTCAGTTCTAGTTCAGTTCTAGTTCAGTTTCTAGTTCAGTTCTAGTTCAGTTCTAGTTCAGTTCTAGTTCAGTTTAGTTCAGTTCTAGTTCAGTTCTAGTTCAGTTCTAGTTCAGTTCTAGTTCAGTTCTAGTTCAGTTCTAGTTCAGTTCTAGTTCAGTTCTAGTTCAGTTCTAGTTCATTTCAGTTCTAGTTCAGTTCTAGTTCAGTTCTAGTTCAGTTCTAGTTCAGTTCTAGTTCAGTTCTAGTTCAGTTCTAGTTCAGTTCTCTAGTTCAGTTCTAGTTCAGTCTAGTGCAGTTCTGTTCAGTTCTAGTTCAGTTTCTAGTTCAGTTCTAGTTCAGTTCTCGTTCAGTTCTAGTTCAGATCTTAAACGATTTGGTAATCATTGATTTTTTTCTAAAATTTTTTCTTAAGTGTATGTTAAAATTTTATTATCCAATTTTTAAAACCAAAAATGCTTTGTCATTTATTTTGGTAAAAAAATCCTAAGAAATATATTCAAGAGTTATTGAACAAAAGTTCTTAAAATAATTTAAAACATTCTCAAGTATTTATTCGAGTGTGTGGCTGTAAACGTGGTAATTTAAATGGAGGCAGAGAGAAGCATGTTTTGGAATATTAATTAAGTTAATTTTGGGATATTTTGTTTGCATTCATATGTAAGAAATATACATGATAAACATATCATTTTATTTAGGCCAAAAAATAATGAAATGAACACAAAATATTATAACAAATGAAAGAAGAAGAAAAGAAAAAAAGAAAGTTAACTTTTAAAAAATTAAAACAAAAAACATAGATTAAAAAATTCCTGAAAGGATATGCATTTTACATAGGCTCCATATTCATAAAATCGGCGCTGTATGCAACAAAATAAAACTTTTGCTGATTTTTTTAAAGCAACTAAGTTTTTATATAATCTCATGTAATTTACACACATGGAAGCCATTTATCATGCGTAAATGTTGGTTTCCTATTTCCTTCCTTTTATCTGCTTTCCTCACTAACTGCAATTTATTTCATATACAAATGTTTTATAGCAACTAGAATTTATTTGATTTTATTTAAATGTTAATTACAATTCAGATGGCATTCAAAAAAACTAAAAGAAAAAATATTTCGTACATGCAAACGTGTGCTACTGAAATCAAACAAATAATATTATATCAAAATGTCATTACAATTCATTATTATCATTGATTGGACAGACTAGCGAGAAAGCAAGAAAAAAATATATTTTTAAAACTAAAGTAATGTTTAACAAAAAAAAAAAAATGCCCACAAAACCGTTTCTGTCAATATTGAAACTGACGGCTGCATGACTGCCTGGCTGTCATATGTTGCAGTAAACATACGTACACAGTATGTAAATGAAGTGCCACTGGAAACAAAAAAATCGAGTCATTAATTTTTTATATAAACTTGCTCTACTTCTTGTTGTAATGTTTTTTATATCCAGCTCCGCTACAGAGGGTAGGGCATTATTAGTATAAGCTAAGTTTTGTAACTCAGAATCAGTTAAGTTCTAGTTCGATTCTAGTACAGTTCTAGTTCAGTTCAGTTCCAGTTCTAGTTCTAGTTTAGTTCTAGTTCAGTTCTAGTTAAGTTCTAGGTCAGTTCTAGTTCAGTTCTAGTTTAGTTCTGGTTCAGTTCTAGTACAGTTCTAGTTCAGTTCTAGTTCAGTTTCTAGTTCAGTTCTAGTTCAGTTCGTCAGTTCTAGTCAGTTCTAGTCAGTTCTAGTTCAGTTCTAGTTCAGTTCTAGTGTCTAGTTCTAGTTCAGTTCTAGTTCAGTTCTAGTTCAGTTCTAGTTCAGTTCTAGTTCAGTTCTAGTTCAGTTCTAGTTCAGTTCTAGTTCAGTTCTAGTTCAGTTCTAGTTCAGTTCTAGTTCAGTTCTAGTTCAGTTCTAGTTCAGTTCTAGTTCAGTTCTAGTTCAGTTCTAGTTCAGTTCTAGTTCAGTTCTAGTTCAGTTCTAGTTCAGTTCTAGTTCAGTTCTAGTTCAGTTCTAGTTCAGTTCTAGTTCAGTTCTAGTTCAGTTCTAGTTCAGTTCTAGTTCAGTTCTAGTTCAGTTCTAGTTCAGTTCTAGTTCAGTTCTAGTTCAGTTCTAGTTCAGTTCTAGTTCAGTTCTAGTTCAGTTCTAGTTCAGTTCTAGTTCAGTTCTAGTT